AGTAAGACGGGGATAGTATTCCAAGAGTTTAAACAAACGTTCAGTTTTAACTGTGGTTTTTCAGAACTTTTGCAGTGGTCTAAACTTTCGGAGGGGGGGTATTTTATGGATTTCGAATGCAAGCGCCGTAGGCGTGAGGAAAATTTTGAATTTCTAGATTCATTAGAACGCTATTTCACGTATTTTAGGACGAGGTTTGAAGAAAAGTTACAACCACAAAAAGGCATTTTTAAGTCACCTAATGTTCATGTTTATAGATCCAAAAATATTTATGTAAAACATAGTATTGTACACGCAAATACAACAGCAAAATTTCATCATGTCTTCGTTTTCGTAGAAGTCGGTCATGAGTGTTGCTTTGAGCGCAAATTCGAGTTCAAATGTGCTTTAAAGCAACCATGGGCGTTTTTTACTGGAGTTAGGATTCTAGGTAGGGAAGACTTCAACTTTTATTGGCAAACAGAAGAGATGGGTATCATTATTCACACATCATACCCCCACCCGAATTTCTGCCCGGATTTCAGCTTTCCACAAGGGCAGTCCTTATGCCCATTGTAGAGCCCCCCGAACCCCCATCTTGGCTACGCCATTGATTTACTTCTGCCTTCCAAAGTTTCAGCTTTTACGACAAGACTAACAATGCACATTTTAACTGCACCGCGGGTTAATCAGATCACATTACGTTTGTTGAACTGTTGCAACGCGGAAGTTGATTATTTGCTCTCTTGGTTTGTGTCAGTGAACTCTAATTTGTGTATGACTAATTCGTTTTTCTTTGTCTAATTCGTTTTTCTTATGTTTATGCAACTTCCATTTCCAGAATGTCCACCTATTAGTGCTATTACTTTTTCGACGATACAAAATGATAACCGATTTGATAACCGATTTGGGACCGACTTTTTAGATATATTTCACAAAACATGGGGGTGTCACCCCCCCCCCCAATGTGTGCCCCTGGGGGGTAACATAGTCAGTCCACAAGGGTTACATAGCTGGTCCGAAGTCTTCGGGTTTTGGCAGGCATCGCCGCTATTAATTTTTTTGCTTGCAAGCAAATTTTGCCTGATAATCTAAAGACGATGCCTGCGGAGGATGCTAGACCGGCCCAACATGATTTTTTTCGCTTGTATTGTAATTGTGAAATGTAGCACTTTGCTGTCCTAAACACAAAAACAACATTCTGATGCTAGTTTGAGTGTTTAAAAATTAAAACTTATATTTGTTTAATACACTTTCAAAATTATAAAAACCATGCATGTGTGCATGACTATTTTTTAGCTGGGACAACTCGGCAAAGGTCCCAGCTAGGTGAGTTGGCTCATTTCCCATATAATCGTGTTATTGTTTTTAATAGTATTTACTATAGAAGCTGCTGTATCGATGAAATTTTCCCACCTCAGCTAGCCAGGACAACTCGGCTCATGTAATTTGCCCTTCAGCAACATATTTAATACTTGTTCACATAACGTAATTAGAACTAATATTATTATAATTAAAATTGGCAAATTAAATGGCAAAATCCGAAATTTGGTTTCTTGGCTTCATTCTGAGTAAGCAGGTTGGTGTGCTCATATGGAATATTTTTCATCCTGCCCACCTATGGTCTCAGCTGGCCATTTTAATATACCACCATTTTATACCACCAAGCATTTATCCAAAAATCAAATGCCAAAATAAAGGCGAGTTTGATCCAAAATGTTTATATTCCTGTTTATATCAGATAAGAAGTCAATTTTTAACTAAATTTTGTGTATAACACAGTTTCTGAAAGCATTCGAAAATAATGCTGATGTCAGCACTTTTATTTTTCAAGACACTGTAACTCGGGAGGAATTAATCCTATTGATTCAAAATTTTTGGTGAACACTCGTAAAAATGATATAAAAAACATATAAAACGAAGGGTATTAAGAAGGCCCATTTTAGCATGCATCCTCTCAAATTGAAACCATTGTCAAAGGGGAACCTGTAAAGGGAAGTTGCTCCTTTTGCTCTGCCTTTCAGAAAGACATGGTTGTATAACTTCTGTGGTGACAGAAAGAGATGCTCTAGTAAGCCTTAAAAGACTATAGGTCATGTTTTAGGTGTGTCTTTTCAACTCCAAGTATAGGTTTTCCGCTGGAGTGCACGGCATAGGCTACTGAGTACTGCAAGTTAGGATGATTAGCACCCCTATCTTTATTAAGGTACGTTTACACGCTGCGATTTGTCGGGCCGATTTTGCTCGCTGTATGTAAATAACCTGTCGTGAGTACTCGCGTCAGTACCTTGCGATTCACAAAATCGGGAGAAAAATCTGTAACACTAACACAGATTTTTCTCACGATTCAACGATTTTTCTTCCGTTGTAAAATTGTTGAAAACTTTTCGCACGCAGAAAACTATAATATGAACAGACGAGAGAGCGGACAGCTTCAATTGAACGTTTAAATCGCTAAATGTCGAAGAAGGGGCATCGATTATTTACCAAAATCGGCCCGACAAATCGCAGCGTGTAAACGTAGCTTTATCTGAACATTCCATCTTTAACAGCATTCACCAAAATACGCATTTGAAAAACTCGTTGCTTTTAAGCAAACGTTCGAACGTTTTGACAAGACTATTGGTAATCCAAGCTGAAGAGTAAAAGCGAGCTATGTTGACATGTAAATTCTAATTATTATAGTATATTTTTGTTGGTGCAACATTGGCAATTTGTGGAAATTTACTGATAAGCATTTCTATGAATGTACAGGTATGTAACTTTTCTTTATTTGTTCATAGAACTAGTAGCTTCTAATTAGTGGCTTTTGAGAAGATTGCATTAAAAAGACAATCCTCAAATCACGCAACAAAGAGGACTTGGAAATTGGGTTAAAAGTTGGAAAATGTATGGCTATAAATGGGATATAACATGCAAATTGATTGACTAATGCGCGTGCATTATTTAAGAATTATATATAAATAACGTTAAGAATTCAAGCGCTTTCGTTGGTCAAGAGCTATGATCTATTAGAGGACAGACGCACGGAATTACGTCACCATCAAGGTAGCCAATAGCATTCCCTTACTTATATAGGTCATGTACGTGTGATATTTGTAAAATTTTGACTTTTTCAAATTTCCAAATGTTTGGATGGATAAAACGTAAGCTATTTACCTGTATGACGTCACACTGTGTATCTATAACTGAACAGACAACCGCAAAATCTTATCTATTTGTTAAATAGAAAATGAGTGGCGTGAGTTTATGGCATATACTGATAAGGCACAAGGGCAATGTTGGGGGAAGCATGTAAAACACATGGCTATACGCTTTGTGTTTATGCGCTCCTTTCGTATTTTCCCAACATTCCCTTCGTGCATTATCACACCGTAAACGCACACTGCTCGTTTTCTGTTTCTTAAATTACCTAAATTGTTGATTTCCGCCGGAAACTAGAAACCCAACTCATTTTCCCTGTCAATCTAGGATGTATGTCATCATACTGGCGTACAACCTGGGCATTAGCCTTCTCAAACCAGTTAGATGCAACCTAATTAATATGAACAGTTGTAAGATATACATCATATAAAGGAAGGGACTGTATAATTTTGAGAAACAAAAATGGGATGCGTTCTGAATTAATGACGATGATCTTGCCCTGCCTCATTGTAATGAAGTCCAGGGTCTTAGCTAGAAGGATGTGTGGGCCATGTTAGCGCGTATATAAAGCCATGTGGGTTCATAAAAAAGAATCTTGCTACATACAACAGACAGAATTTGCGGATAAAATCTAATTTGTGGAAATCTGTGATTTTTTATGTAAGCTAGTTTATATATGTAGTAGCAACCATATTGGTGTCAAATACAGCTTTAAACGCCCCAAGAGTCTCTATAATAACTCATTGTAATGTCAGTGTGAAATTTAAGCACATATGTTGGTCTTGTGTTGTTGTATCACATATATAGAACAACCACAGGCTTAATCTATTGTTGGCAAACACAATTGGAACCATGCATTTGGCTATTCTGGTACACGCCCTGAAATTTAGAAACACTCTTAAAATCTTAAATCATATAGCTAAGACCCTGTACTGATTATCACATTTGCGTGAACCAAATGTATGTCATATTGTTAGAAATATTCACACAATCAGATTTCAATGAGTGAAGATGCTGATGGTAAAGGTTACTTAAAGAGCAAAGTATGGTGGTAAGTTCAATAGAAATGTAGCATTCTAAACTATACTCACGAGCAAATTAAGGCTTCAGTGGAGGGTGTGTTATTTTATAAACGAGGCCGCGAGTAGATTCAAAATTGAGTTTGAAAGACGAGTACAATTTGAGGTATTGCTATATATTAATTATAATGATTATTAGATGAAGACAGTATCTTTCCTTAGACTGTCTTTTATAGAAAACTTGACTGAAACGTTAAACATTTTGTCCCACTGAAAAGTGGTTTGTTTGCTAATTAAAAAAATTAAAACTACGTTTTACATTGACTTGGTCTTGGAACTGTTTTATACAATTAATGGAAATATTCTTAGATAACTTTCCGATGTTATGGTATAACAGTACTCTTAGATACCTAGTTTATGGAATTTGGTGATGTCATAGTCTTTGAGGGCTATGATTCTTCTCTACTGGATTTTGTGTCATTGTGTGGGACGATCTATTGAAAGAACATTAGAGCTTAGAGATGCTATATGGGGATTTCAGGGAATTTGTAGAAACAGTGGATTTTGAAGATACAGTGACTCTAAATCTTACTAGACTTGATTGTAATTTTAGTTTCTCTATGCAGGTTCTATATAGTCTCTGTTTCGTTATTGTAAATATTGATGACGCAAAATAACCGGTCCCAGTGTAAATAAATATATAACAATCCCACAGACTGCATATTAACTTTCTCTTGTGCCACCATGGCTAAATCTGTAGTATTTTGTAGGTTTGGTATTGTTTTAATGGTATTTGGTGAGATTGGTAATTTTTCAGCGTACGGCTTTGCCCCAGCTTCTTTAGTCGCTCCGCTAGGAACTACAACTGTGATAGGTAAGCAAGAATTTAATGAAATATTTGCGTATACAGCGTATCACAAGCAACCAACATACTGTATATGTGCATTAATTAATTTATTTTGCACTTGCAATTATTGACCGTTTACACCAGGGCGCCTGGTTTACACTTGCAATTTTTGCCGCGATTTCTGGTGCGATTTTATTTTCTGCATGATGGATGTGAAGAATGAGTAGATGAGTGTTACGAATGTTCGGAGTACATGTACCTTCATCTGAACATTCATAACTCATCCACTCGTTCACATCTATCAGAAGAAGAGAATGACACCTACGAGAATGGCAGCAAAAATTGCAAGTGTGGCCGCGCCTTAAAGTCTTTGAGAGATATTGAAAATTTTGAGCGTATTTCAATTTTGGAGGCCTCATGCAGTGTTGCAGCCAAGCTATTTTCTTCTGTTCATACACCCAATAAGAACGTCGTTTCTGCTGCACATTACCCTATAACTTTGTGTAAGTCGTTTTTGCTTTTACCTTTTAGCAAATGCTATTATTGCGGTGGTTTTCTTGGGTGAAAAAATTAGAGCTCAAGATCTTTTTGGTAAGCTTTTCATTTCTATTATTATAATCTGGATTATCTGGGTATATAACAAAAAGTTGTCATATCCAGAATTATGAAGGTGTATTTAATCAGCCACAACACTTACCGACATTGTGATAGTCAAAAACCAAATTAAATAATCATATATTATTTTAGTTGAATTTTAAATATTTAGCTGCCATGCATGGACTGCATTAATGTAATGAAATATACGGCTGATAGGTAAGCATCAATTTTACACTATTAATTTTTTACTTTTGAGGTATTTCCATGGCAGTTGTGGGTGCGTTTTTGTTAGTCACATTTTCATCCAAGGTATGGTTTCCTTCTTTTTTACAGTTAAAGTATCTTTCTTCCGTTTTCATCAAATCGTTCTGTATAGACAGAAATACTGCATGCTACCCCACAATCATGCATGTATGCGAGAAAGGTCCTGATTTTGGTCTGTTTGGTTCATGTTTAACCTTTTTTATTACTTATTTGATTTGCTTTACTCTCGACGTCAACCCTTTGTAAATCTATACGGAATTTATACATTGTAGATGACGCCTTAAAGCCCTTACTCTTGCGTTATTATAGTCTTGCAAGAATACCATGGCTCGATTTTGCACTATAATCATGTACTTATTTAGTATATAAGCTGTATATTATGCATGTATGACAGCATGAGTGAATTAACAGAGTGCAATTCAATTCGTCCAGGATCTGTCTACATTGGTTTGCTCATGCACAAATCTCTAAAATAATCACGAGTTGTTAGTCAACCTTATACCTTCAATACCAGGAACCGCGCTATATAACACAATGAAAAAACTATACATTGTAATTTTCTTTATTTAGGAAGGAAGTGAACCAACAGCTAAACAATTAGTGTCGTATTTAAAACAGTGGTCGTTCATTTTATATCTGGTGAGTATATCTATTTAAAGCGGAGCTTTGAAGTTTGAACATTATTGAATGCCTTTCATATGACGTCACAACGGACAATATGGGGGATAAGATGAAATCTACTCTGCTTATAGGACGATGAAAATCCATCAAAACACAAAATGGTAGAATAGTAAATTGTGTATAGGCATACTTGAATGATGGTGATTTTAATTTGCTTCTATCCCTGAAGCAATTTGACATGCATATATGTTTTAATTCGCCTCCACTCTGACCGTTTATATATGAGTAATATGACATCACATGCAGCAACTTTTTTCTTATATAAACTTGTGTACATTATTCCACAGTTAATAATTCTTCATTTCTATTTTTTTCCTTTATCTTCCAGCTGCTTGAGATTTTGTTGTTTTGTGGATTGCTATATTTGCAAAATCGTTATCGTCTGGAAAATGTGTTTATATATCTCTTGCTGGTTGCTCTGTTAGGTGAGTGGCTATATACACCATCTCGAAAGACTCAAATTCTTACCGCTTGTTAAGTCATCACAGTCAGTTGCGAGATAATTACTCCCAAAGCATCATAATTCATGAGAAAATACAAAGTCAAAAGAAATCAGCACATGATCGTTATCTAGATATCTCGTAATAAACGTCACTCCGCAAAAACGCCAACTTTAATTTGCGTTGAATTTCTCAAGTATTAATTCGTTTGGGAAGTTTTATAGCACACTCGAAGTCGTTTACTATGTTGATACGCTGAAAATGTGGATAGGTTTTGATTAGATTTATTAGTTTAAGTACATTAGCCCATAGGGAACTTCATAGAATATTGTGGATAATAATTTACTGTTAATTTCAGGGAGTTACAGTAATTTAACTCCAGTGGAGTTTATATTTTGAACCCAACTTTAGTCCACTTTTGGAGTAAGTTAAATTTAGTTCAAAATAACTCTACTGGGAGTTAAACTATAACTGCCTGTAAATAGCAGGGAAGCTATATAGATATTGTGGCCATGCTGAACACACACTTTTTCTACATTTTTATAGGTTCAGTTACTGTTATATGTGCAAAAGGTGTTTCCTCTATGATCAATCTTACTTTTGCTGGTATGAATCAAATGGACCACGCTCTACCTTACATCATGTTTATTTTAATGGTTGTTACTGCTGTAGCACAAGTAAGGTGTGTATTTTTTAAATGTAACTGAAAGTGATCAACAGTCGGTCAACATTGCCCCCTAGTGTCTGTCAACTCCCCCTTAGTGTCCGTCAACATTACCCCCCCCCCCCCCCAATCATCAGAAAGAAAAAGTAGCGACGAGGCAGTCGAACCTAGGTACGAGGCTGCTTTCGTTTTATTCGAGAGCATAGTTATGCGACCATTTTGTCAACACAGATGTCGATTGTACACAAATGAGCCGATAAAAGCTTTTTCATCTTGAAATTACGAACGTGAAATTGCATGTATTGCCATGCTTGATTTCAAGCAAGTGACCAAGTCAGTCATATATGTAAGTCCTTTCGTTAATAATCCCGCGGACACTATAAATGGTCACGCGGGTTTGTTCATATAGCATAACGTTTTGTTTTCGCGATTCCCGTATAAGGGATTTTCTGTGGATTAATTAATATATCGACCCACTTTAAGCAGTGAAATTTTCGGCCTAGCAACCTCTCCCCAGGCTTCTCAACTCAGCATGGCAAGGATTGTAGAAGCAAAATGTATAGGAACTTGGTTAGGATAATTCAGCCTTGAGCAACTCACTATATAAATAAAGTTAAAAGTTATTGAGATCTAGTCTCTAAGTGCTTTTTTCAAACAAATTCTTATTTTATCTTTAGGTTTCTAAACATAGCGATGAAACATCACGATGCTACAGTAGTGGTTCCTACAAACTTTGTGTTTTTTACAATTAGTGCCATTCTCTCTGGTACGTTATATCAAAATTTCTTTACCTGTTGACAGTTGTTTAATTCATATTATTATTTATTTAAATGATTCATGGTTGCTGATTGGCTAACAGCCAACTGTGAAATTGTCATGTCAACTCAATAGCTGACCAAATATTGAGTTTTGACATAGTATTCAACGGAGTGACATCATAACGTTGACATGAAAAGTCGTATTTAACATTATGACGTCATAATGTTGATTATGACGTCATAATGTTGATATAAAAATCATATTCAACGTTATGACATGCTGTGAAAAAAGAACTGGTCTGTATCTTTCTGCAAATAGGAAAAAGAACTGGTCTGTATTTTGAAGAATTGAAACCACAGGGTGTGGATGTCTTTTTCATATTTTATGATAAAACAATGATTCAACTCGGTTTTCGCCTGGTAAAAGAATTATCAAGCCCTCAGTTTGTGCAAATTTTCCATTTGCAATTGTCTGTCTGCGTATGGATCTCCTTTCGTGTGTTTCTCCTCTTTCCCTTTTGCCCGTTTTGTGTTATCATTTTGATATTTATATCTTCTTTGGTTTGATGAATTTTGTTTTCTCGTTTGCAGGTATTATGTTTTACAGAGAATTTTATGGATTATCATTTCTAGTTATTTTCATGTTCTGTTTTGGGTACGACACAGTCATTTTCATTGTTTTTTAACTCATTATAAAAAATACATGTCACGCAAACTATAACCTGAAACTACTGCGTGCATGTATAGTAGTTAGTGATCCATATAGTCTCCAAGACTGGAAATATCCAACCGACTGACCATTCTCTAATATTCACTGCTCCTCAAATAATGATAAAATGTATTAAAGCCTAATTCATGTGGGTGACTGCTGAAAACGTTCCATATTAAATTAATATGTAAATGAATAAATGTAGTCATGGATACAGCGACTACTGTTGATGCTAACTTTTTACAGAGGTTGGTACATCCTGCATGGGGGGGGGGGGGGCTATACGTCAGGATAGCTTATGGTTGTTGAATGGATACGTCAGGATAACCTATGGTTATAGGATTATGAACCACGCGCAGGCTAATGAATCATTCTAAGAATAAACATGATTGTTCCAGGTGTTTCTTATCATTTGTTGGTGTATATTCAATTACAAGTCAAAGACATATAGTTGACGACGTGGATAAAACGAGTCAAAGTCACAAAGATATAATGGCTGGTAAGAATATGTTCACAAATACTGGGATTGAAACTTACCGGCGTAAAAGTAAATTTAATGTTGTAGGACGTTACCCTTGGTTCCAGAGGCTCTTTGCGAGGCTAAATCTTTGCGAGGCGAAATAAACGAGAGGCGAGAAGGAAGAGCCTCTGGTCACATCGGTTGTAAATCCCACTTCCACACTTGATTAGGTTCAGAATTTGAATCTCGCATGTGATTGGCCATTTGTAAAAATATGTCAAACCGGTTTGGGAAAACAACAAGCTAATTATGTCTTTTATAGCTATAATAGGCAATTCCAGCTTTTAGTTTATGCATGCAGGGGACGATGGGAAGTAAGGTATCATATTGCTGATTATGCTGAAAAAATAAAAACGGTGGCCGTGTAAACACGGAGTGATAGCTTATACTTGTAAATATTGAAATATTTCGGTTGTTTCGGTAGTTTTTATTGAAATTTTTCATCATAATCGGCAATATGATACCTTAATCATCCCCTGCACGCATAAACTAAAAGCTGGAATTTCCTATTAGCTTACAGTAATGTTGTTTTCCCAAACCGGTTTGACACTGACTCTTCCACAGTCCCTCGCTATATTTGACTTAGTACGGGAGAATATGCCCGTTCGCGGGTTAGGCGTTGACAGACACGTCGTAACCCATTCCCATCATCCAACGCGAGCGACTGGGAACGAGTCAGGGTTTGACATATTTTTACAAATGGCCAATCACATGCAAGATTCAAATTCTGAACCTAATCAAGTGTGGAAGTGGGATTTGCAACAAATGTAGAGGCTCTTCCTTCTCGCCTCTCGTTTTTTTCGCCTCGCAGAACCAGAGCCTCTGCAACCAGGGTAGTAAGATGTTGGTTGTTAATATAATACCACATGTATAAGGATTATTTTCATTGGGGTACATACTTTCTGCGAAATGCTCTATAGCTGTATTCGAAACACTCTATAGAGAATACTTTCTGACAATACAGCCATTATAATTCTTACAACTTTGTCAACATTTTTATATTAAATTTGTCTCTATATTGTCGCAATTAACAATTAGATTACGAACTCGATATTTCTATGAAGTGATAGTTGATAAGGGCGAAACTCGAATCACCTATCACCTCATAGAAATCGAGAGCGAGTAATTTAATTGTTTTAGTAGAATCAGAGATCAAACATAAAATATTCCACAAAATGTTTTAAAAAAGTGCGCGAGGAAAACGATGTTCTGCTACTCACTATCTATCGAGAGCGAGTAGAGTAGCCAATCAAGTTGCAGCATTTGCAATAGTATACTAGTATGATTCTACTAATTAACATTATAACATGAAACGATGCAAACCAATTTGTATCTCGCCAGTACAACAATTGCCAGATGCTCAAATCGGCTGTACCATTGGTAATCTTGCTTATATATAACATTTCTAATTATAAATTTATAAATCTTACCTGTTTTCCTTACAGGCTTTTTGTCCACATCGACATCAAAATTGTTCAGAGTGCAGCCAATTTCACCCACCTCGTCAGGTAGTCAGGCAGGAAAATCTTCAAGTGAAACAATTCCATTAAAAGCGAAATAGCGAAATGTGATTATATGCCAAAATTGAATCAAATAAGAATTGTTTATCTTCATGCTTCTCTGCTGACTCGGCAATCTCGTATCCCTAGTCCAGGAGGATCTCGGGCTCCGGCTACGAAATAGCTGACTCGCAGAGGTTGACTCGGTTGTACCGGACTAGTCCCTAGTCCTCTGTGCACACCTTTAATTTTCTCGTGACGTCACCGAATGAAATGCTGCATATTAATGAGAACGCGTACTAAGAGGCCTTGGAGCACCCTGTGTATCCCTGTGCACTGGCTAGGGATAACGTGAATAATTAATTAACTTGAAATTTATATGGTATCTGAGATAGGAAAATTTTAAGCAGAAGATGAAAAGGTATAAATACATGATTTGAGAGCGGAAAGTGTTGCAATAACAATATTTGAAACTGTGGTGTTTTAACAGTTTGTATATCGATTTCAAGGTATTCGGTTTGTTTGATGATATGTAAATGTTTAGATGCAGATAAAGTGATTAATACCATATATTTAATATAAATTATTTAATTGATTAAAAATATAATTAATTATATTCGTCGCAGATTATTCATTTACATGAATATATGCAATTAGCCTTTCTCACGCGGGCCAATTTCCTTCGTTTGTGGGCTGTCTTCCCTCGTCAAAGAATCTAGGCACTCCAAACAATCGGGCTTCGGTGGTGTCGTCAGAGGAACGCCTTTTACCTCTTCGATTCTCGCTGTGGACTCATTTGAAAAGAGTCAGTCAACGCTCTGCCGAAAGTCGTGGGTTTCCCCCGGTTTCCTCCCACAGGGAAAGTTGACAGGGTGGGTTAGGTAAAACACAGTTAAGAAAGTAATATCACAATTGTTGTAAAGATAAAATAGTCTAGGCTAAGTATGTAATTAAGTAAGCGTAATACTTGATGTAAAGCGCATTTTATCCTATCCACATGTAAATTTGCGCTATAGAAATGTAACTCGTCATCGTAATAAGCGACTTTTCAAAGTTGTAACTGGCTGTAAATTTACCATTATACACACAACGACATTGATAAAAAGTCGACGCATTTTGTGGCGCGTACAATCTCAGAATTGGGACTTGGGAGAGGCAGTACCCCCAAAATGGCGAATAAGCCCAGTGTGAGAAAAGATAATTGTATCCGTTTTCTCCATAATGAACCTAACTGAAGTTATAATTTATTTAGTTTGTGTAGTTAGCTTATTTATAAATACAAATTTCGTAGAATATGTTAGAGACTAAAAAATGGAGTTCTGAAAATATCTTGTTATACTTGTAATATATAATCTATTATAGTACATGTACATGCTGTATAGTTTAAAAATTATATAATATAAGTACATGCTGTAATAAAAATATGCTTGACGTATTTATTTACAGAACTGTAGATTATAGAAATTAATGTAATGTAATGTAATGTAATGTCGATGACACGATGTATCTTTAAGAAGGGATAAATACCTTTACGCGGCATAGTACAAAACATGGACTGGACTGGACAGTTGGACTGGACTGGACAGTTGGACTGGACTGATTTTTACATTTTCTCTATTCTTGACTTGCACGTCAGCCACCATGTCGGGTGGCATGGCACAAAATAATATTTTATCACAGAATAGATATACCATGTCATGTCTATTTTGTGATTTTATCAATGAACATTGTCTGTTGTATACCAGGAGGAGATTGGTTGCAAGTCAAGAATATAACGTTTTGCACCTGAATTTTTACCTGAATTACTTTTGATTTTCGGAAATTGAAATACTTTACCTTCCCGATGACCTCACTTTATAACTGGAGTGAAATCTCTTAAAGTGAAAGAAACCCCAGTAAGTAGAATACAATACAATTAATACCAAACATAAACTACTTATCTGTCTTTGCTATGGGTAGCCTGCTCGCATACGTATTAAATTTCTATATTCCAGTCTGCATGGCCATGGGCGTAGAAAGATCGATAATTGGGGGGGGGAGCTCATATTCATATGTTCGTGTTCTGCATCATTTACTTCTTACTATTGTTTTTACAGTCTGCGAACATGAATATATGAATATGAGCCCCACCCCCCAAAAAATATCGATCTTCCTACGCCCATGGCCATGCAGGCTGAAATATCAAAATTTAATACGTATCCGAGCAGGCTATAAGTAGTTTATGTTTGGTGTTGTATTCTATTCTACTTAGGGGCTGACCATTTAACTTTTGAGGAGGGGGTGATTTTGAAAAAACATTTCCTGCAAGGCTATTCTGAACAAAAAAATGCCTGCACTAACAAACTGGGGGGGGGGGGATATCCTGCCCCGGTATTTGGTGAGAAAAAAATGTTGCAAAACAGCATGGTTGCAGGGTTCGATTTGACCAGTCCCAGAAGATCAGCTGGTTTGATTTTCGGAGACTAGTGTAAGGTTAATTTCTTGTTGGAAAACTCCTCAAAATGCTGGAAATAGCTTATCTGAGCTTCACGAAATCCAAAATTTTCTGGGGGGGGGGTATGCCCCCAGACCCCTTTAGAGGCTCGCACCTTCAGTGGTTGTCTCAGAATCCCAGTTAATATTGGCCTGATCTGCTGCCCTGTGATGCATGTATACTTATTAGTTAGTTAAACCATGCATATATATATATATATATATATATATGCTGGTAGCTGCAGTGATACAGACTTGCCGACTGGAACTTCTTCAGGTCCCCCCGCTAAATATGTCCCCTCCAGTTACACATCTGTAAAGAGGCCCTGAACCAAATCTTATACCTCATCAGGGCCGCCGAGAGGGGGGGGGGCAGGGGGGGAATTGCCCCGGGCCCCCACCTTAATAGGGCCCCAACTTGAGAGCGAGAGCCCAAAATTGAGTAGATTCTTTAAATTGGTCAGAGAATTTTTGAAATTGAGGGCTCCTTACAGTACCTCCACATGCAGTCTAGCTAAGCTCTAGTTGGGTCTAGCTTAAAAATAATGATGTCATAGGGCCACCAGGAAAGATTTGCCCCGGCCCCCGCGAATTCTCTCGGCGGCCCTGTACCTCATATCATAGCAATATGTATTATTAAAAACATGCATGAAGCTAGAAAACTCAACGTTAACTATTATTAATTAAAGAATCTAAATAGTATAAGCTATTGAAAAAAAAATGCTGTGAAAGAGAGAGTGGCAAAAAAAATATCGTACATGGTGATGGGATAGGGAAAAAAATCTTGCACATAACGATCCCAGAAAAAAAATTCCCTTCCAGCAGTAAATCCCCCCC